TAACATTAATATATTATAATATACTATAAAGTTCGACCAAGTTGAAAATTATATTTTATAAATGGATCTCAATTTTATAGAGTTGTTGTTCAAACAAGTGTAGAAAATTACCATTTAGTAAACATTATAATAATATGAATTACAGATAGTCCACTCAAAAGTGAAATTTGTGTCACTATTCAACCTCGTGCCATTGCACATCTGTTTGCTATTATTTTTTTCTCAATGGAACAAAAAAATGATTTTTTTTTTATACAGCATTAGTTCATAGTGTTCAAAAGAGTTTAAAAACAGTAAAAAGATTAAATAACGACAGAATTTAAATGGATGAACCATTCCTTTAAGCGTTTGTACACAACTTTAAGTGGAGATTAGAGCAACCGAAAGCATCAGCTGTGACACACATTAAAAGTGCAACACCAGTGGTTGGTTAAAACCACCCACTCATTAAAGGACAGAGAACTTAAGCACAAAGTAAACAAGATGCTTTTAAGAAAATTCAAATCAGTGGATCATCGTTAAGTGTTGATGCAAATGCAGTTCAAAAAGAAAGGATAACTGTCTCAAAGTGCAGAGGAAATGGGCTTTCTAGCAAAAAAAAGCAATAGCGTTTCAGTGCAGCCAGAACGATGCTTCAACTCATCAGAATCACTACACAAAACAGAATTAATGCATATTAACTCAGTTTATTCTAATGCACTGAATTAGTCTTTTTGCATCCAGTATTGATTCATATCCACCTACGAGCAATGCAACAACACAACCTCTCAGCTGGATAAAGAAAAGTTGGTGATATAGGCAGAAAATGAATGACTGAGGGAGGCACAGCTGTGCTGTGAGTGACAAAATGTACCTCAGCATGTGTGTGTGTGTGTGTGTGTGTGTGTGTGCATATATGATTTTGAGTGTGATGTAGATGCACTTTTATATAAAATCAACTAGCGTGGACTGTTATTACTTCCCCTCCATCATCCTCTTTGCAAATGGTGAAATTGCATTTCACCTACCACAAAAGAACAAAACCATATTCAACCGCGCTAGTAATTTTCCATGAGTCATACTCGCTGATGACAAATTAATAACTTTGTCACTCTGTGAGGGTCTATTAGCCAAACAAGAGAAATCATTTGAAATCCAAGCAATTTATCAGGGATTATAAATTCCATTTGGTTTCAAATATAAATGATGTTTGAGACCTTTCATTACACACTCCACTGAGCATTTGTGTGGACATTTTGACCTCTGGGGCCAATGGAAAGTTGCGCATAGCCAACAGAATGCTATCTGCTTTCAGAGCAATTATTGCTAAGTGTGTGGGCTGAAGCCAAAACCCACATCTTACTGCTCAACTGTTCCACCCAAATGCAAACTATTTTAAGAGCAATACCACTATTTTAACAGCAAATAGAGCAATCCATGTCATATACAGTCATTATAAGAATTTCAACTATAATTTTTAAGCTAATGACTTTGAGAAGCGCTTGAAAGAAAGCTACTTTTCAAATAAAAACAAACAGTAAAGACTCCAAGTAAAACGAAAATAAAGGCTGTTAGAAACTTTTTTCAACAAGATGATAAAGCTGTAGATTTTGATGTTTCTCTCTACATTCAGATGTACTTTTCTCTCTGTACATAATTTCCATACTGGTTCTTCCACCCTAGCAGTTTGAAACATCTATATTTGAAAAAGCACTCCGTAATGCACTGAGCAATTATAGGTGAAATGTTCCCTGAAGAGACAGAGACAGCAAGCACTTTGCGACATAACTATTCACTGAGGATGAATATAAGCTCTTGCAGTTTGAGTGTCAGCTGAAGCAGACCAGAAATATACATTGCTGTTGCATGTTTACCGATTTAAAGGCTAAGGGTGGGTTGCACCAATTACAACTTAAACCACAAAAGGGTTCGTTTATCTAGGTTTTATTTTAATTCAAGCCTTGTTGTACCACTTAATTTTGAACCGGGCTTAACAAATCAGTCATTAAACCTTCAACCTGTGATTAAATTTGATTCCCTGCCACGACTGATTCGCCAAAAATGGCAGTATTGTTACCTGTTAACTTCCTTTTTCAGTGACATTAGAAACAGCCTCTGCAATAAGTAACCTGTGCAGGTAAAGGGGAAAAAAAATACACTACTAATGTAACGGTTACCAAAATCCAAGGCATAGAACTACAGCTCTAACTGAAATGTAATTCAGAGTTTATATTAATGGGTGCACAGTATTAAAGTTACCCTAGGTTTAATGATGGTTGAAGTACAAACAATTAATAAATATATCATAAATCTAAGTCCTTATTAGTGCAACCCACTGCAAAATACTTGTTTACTATGTATAAACATGATGGTCACCATCCAAAGTCAGCCTGGTCTCTTGCCTCATAATCTAAATCAGTAATGATTCTCAGAGAGCACCTTCAAAGCCAGCTATTTTTACCATTCATTTAATGACAGTATTTTACAATTGTAAACCAGGCAAAAACATTACTCTCCCCCTCATTCAAACTGACTCTAATTGAATAAGGTCTAGGCAAAACTCCTGTGCTGAAGGCCTATATATAGCTGTGATGTCTTCCTGTGTAACCGGAGAGTGTGTGGCCTATTAACATCACAAAAATCTGAAGCCTGGCACATTCCACTGTCAGAAATAACCAGAGGGATATAGATGGTCCTTCAGGCCAAGAAGACAGGAGAGACATTTAAAGACAAGGAAGTGGAAAAGTGTAAGAAAGGCAGAAATAAAAACAGAAAGACACATAGATACATAGAATGGGAATGGTCAGAATGACAAAGTAGTAAAACAAAACAATACAGACTCCAGAAAGTTTGAAAAGTAAAGGAAAGAAAAGGGAGAATAACAGTGGGTAGAAGGCAGAAAAAAAGACATTGTGAAGGAAAAGAAAAAGACATATGGCATTTAGCTGAGTGACAAGACAGGTGTAAACTCCACAACTTGTCCAGAGGATTGACACATGCATCATGACTACAGATGTCGTACTCTAGATACAATTCAGGACCCAGATTTATTAACTGGACATAGAAATTGTTTGGCATACAAAAATGTTAGGAAAACTGCACTAAAAATCAAATTGAAAAATATGAATATTACTATGAACAGCCTACAGTCAACCAAATAAATTAGCATGACATAGGCTTGTTATTAGGAAAAAATATTATATTATAAATGCACTAAAACACAGCTATTTATTTTGCTACCATAACTATCCACAATAATATGTTTATCTTTTATTAGTTTGTGTCTCTATCAGATAAGAACAGACTTACTGAGAACAACCACTTTCCTGAACCGTTTTCAACCTTTACATGCCCAGATTCTTAGCCAATCCATTTTTTTTTTTAAACAAAGTAGCAAAAATGTACGTTCTGTATGTCTTATACAAAATATCTTCTCCACAGATCCCCCTGGAGTACACTCAGGGACCTCCAGGGGTCCAGAGACCCTATAAAGTTCTGGCACTACAAAAACTAAACTAGAGTCCAGGGAGATGTAACAAACCCTCAAAAGATCATTAAATGTCAATCATTAACATAGAGTGCAATAAAAACCATACACCAAGATTCAAGAGAATGCTGCAAGTATAGTAGAGGTGAAAGTTTGATGTGGCTACATAAAACACATACACTATTTCTGTTGATGGAGTGCAAATGAGAAACCCAAATCCAATGAGAGTCATAAAAGGTGCCTGTATTGCAGACAGTTTGGCGATGAATGTTAGTGGCATAAGTGAAATCATAACACTGTCAGAATGATGTGCTCTGACGTGGCCAGTTCAGCTCTGTGACTGTGAAGGACAACAAGGAGACAAAGCCGATCCATCTAAACACATCTGAAGCTGACACCATCACCTCTCATCACAGCACTGATCCAAAACCAATGAATTACTTCTGAAAAGCTCAAATAATTGATCACACATTCCTTTCTGACAAAATTACAACTGAAGTATGAAGATACAATTCACTATGATTTTCTAGGGTTAAGTGATTTACTGAAAATTCAAGATATATTTGTGATGATTTTGTTGGTTAGATCAAAATAAGCATAATTACAAATATTCTAATTGTTGTGCCTTTTGCAAGTTTTCTTCACAATCCCTCCTTGACTGATTATTGTATATAAATAAAACTCACCAATTTATATGCCAGTTGTATTAATGAAGTTTAAATTGGAGACAATATTACACTTACAACATCAGTCTTACATCAACAATACTCTCGGCCAATGTTGTAATATTGTCTCTAATTTAAAAAAAAAATGTCTCTGGTGTGAGTTTTATTTATATCCAAAAATCACTTGGATATGAATCAAGCTTTCCATTTTAAATCAAACACACAAACATCAAAATAGTAAATACTGTAGCAAGGTTGAAAAATATAGCAATAACTTTTTTTAGCCATATTGCCCAGCCCTATTGTTCACACACTCCTTGTAAAGACATAGTGTTTCTCAGAGGGTTTTTATACTGAGAGACATTTTAGACTGTAAAAGCAAACAATCTCCACTACATTTCTGCCCAAAGGTAATTGCAAAGAGCATATGAAACCTCTTCATTCTTCTCAGTTCGGTAAGAAGGCCCCCATCATTCCACCCTCGGCCACCAAGCAGGTCCTTGAGGTAAATGCCACAATGTAACCCCAACCAAACAAAGTGACTGAAGATGGAGGGACGGCTACTTCACTTAATTTTCTCTAACTGGATTAGCCACCATTTTGTGAGACACATCAGAGGTATGTGTTACTCCTTTAACAAATTATCACATATCATGTTTTGGTGCACAAGAACGTCTGCCTTCCACCTTTTTCTCTGAAGCCTAAACTCGATAATTACCCACATAAGCTTGATAATAGGGCACAATGTTCTTATGTTGGGGATCTTATGGTCATTTCTACAAGGCTTGCAGGTAGTATGAAAAAGCCATTGATTTCTCAAAATGAAACATTAGTGTTACATTTACATTTAAAACTACATTCGTAGTTACCTTCACCCAAATCCAAAACGGCTAGGACAGCACTGCTTCTGGCCTCTCCAAGATTGTTGGTGGCGATGCAGGTATAGAGGCCGGCATCACTGGGTTTGCAGTCCCTGATCCACAGGCCTCCATATTCCTGGTTATCCATGTTGAGCAGGTCATCATTGTGGTACCAGTAGAGGGTAGGTTGTGGGTCTCCAGCCACGGCCACTTTCAGACGGATATCACAGCCAGTACCAACCGCAGCGTTCCTCATCTTCCGGATGAACACCGGAGGAGTTGGGGTAGGGTAGACGGAAGCAGCAGGGTCTGGTACAACCTGATCAGAACTAACTTTTGCCCGTTTCGATGGTATCCTGGGGCTGGGAGGTGCCATTCCTCCTGCTTCTTCATTAGCACCCTTCTTCAGGGTCATCTGGACCTCAGCTTTCCTCATGATCCAGTGGAGAGCTTCTTTATGGACTGCTACACGTTACTAAACTGATTGAAGCTTAAAATTACATTAATAAGTATATCTAATGCACAATAAATTGTCCAAAAATAAAATAGCTTTTCATAATTTGGAGTTTTGATATGGTAAACATATTCCAAACATTCAAGCCGATATTATCAAATGTAAGACTCCACTCCAGGTTTAAGTTATCAACACCAGTTAAATGCAATACTTACTTATCAAATGATTTCTTAAAAAAGTGGAAATCTCTACCTGCATTAACAGAAGACCTTCTGAAAGGCCTTCAGGTACATAGAAATGTAAAAAAAAAAAAAGTTTTCTGCATCATAAATGTTTTGGAATATGTTTCTCACATCCTTGAGATGTCCAATTAGAGAAGCTGAAAACAAAATGTTTAATCTTTCTCCAATTAGGCGAATGTAGCTTGCGCATGTACTCCTGGCTGGATGGTATTTTTAGAGCGAGTCCCAGAGGATCATATTGCATTAGCAGCTAGCCCTGCTGCCTTTTGGAAGATTTGGCCTCAGCTTTTCACCCTCAGATTCAGGTCCCCCAGTTCTTCGCGATCTAAGGGGGAAAAAATGACCGCTGGATCGTTTAGGCGATAACTCAATTGCAGGATTTCCAACTGGTTTCCAACTCTGTGCCTGCGGTGCCCAGACTTTCGTCCCCTTGCCCTCCAAGTTAAGCTGTCTCACTCACTCCACTCACATGTCCCCCCGGGGAGGTGACAGACAAGTCCCTCTAAGTCATCAAGGAACAGCTGTACCCTGATAGGTCAAATTTTTTGGGCAGCCCGGATGCTTTGGCCCAGCCCCTCATCCTCTCTCCTGGCACTCAAAGCCAATCACAAGCTCCAGAAAGTGTGACATGGGGGCCTAATGAGGGAGGGGTTCGGAATAAAGCTCTGATTCATGTGTCAAAGATAGCTGCTGAGCAAGAATCGATTCAGTCACCAGCATCAATTTCAGACTTGGTAGTGGTATTTTTTTTTTTTTTATTCCCTCAGAAAATAACATGATTCAGCACTCAAGCCTTAAGGATCCATATAATTACTCAAACAACCCTCAGAACAAAACCTATTGATATTTGATTATCTCATCAGCGATGGAAATAGTTATCAGGATTAAAGAACTGAATATAATGAATGCAATGATATCTTGCAAATTCCAAAGACCAGAGAACCAAACAAAAGCCCCTAAAAACAACAGCTGCTGTACAACATAGACTGCCATCTGCTGGACACCATGTATACATGCAAGATATTTTATGGTTGTAATGGAGACAACAAAATATTTATAAAGTGTATAGTGGTCAACTACTTCTAAGGCAGTGTTTGGTAATAATATCTAGAAGTGTAGAATAATGCTGAATTTTATTTTTATGTTATTTTATTTCATATATATATATATATGATAGCAAACAACAATTTTAAATGACTATTTTATAACAGCAAATAAGACAACTGCTGGTGTTAAACACACATTTTTATACATATTATATATATATATATATATATATATATATATATATATAACATTTTAGCATTATTCCATATGTTTAAATAAGTAGCAAATTTATAATAAAATACATATATTTAAACTCATTTCACATATTTGCTCAATTCACTAAATAAAAAACTGAAAAAAAAAAATTTATTATATGAATTCTGTCCATTCAGCAGCCATTAGGCGCTTATGCCATTAATACAAAAAAGATGAAACACTGACTGATTAATCAGCCTGGATGATATATTAGTCTATCACTAATTAATTAAATGTGTACAGTAAACATCAAGTTCATAACTCAATAAAATATTGCATTCAATGATACAATCTGATTACCTGAATCGGGGCTATTTATACAGATTTGTATAAAATGCATAATATGACAATTTCCACAGCTTTATGAATGTTTTACCTCTGATACGTTTAACACCAGCAGAGTGTTCACAAACCGCCAACCCTCTTGTACACTCAACAGATGACTGATGTTCATTTTCCCTACTTTAAAATGAGATCATAAACAACTAAAAGGATTTCAGAGGGCTGAATTTCATGCTAAGCATGTGCCTTCTCCTTGGAACCCCCTTTGAAAGGAAAATCCTCTCTGCAGTTTGTCCTGCAGAACCAGTTGTCATAGAAACAGCATCGCTCTCTGGACTGCTGAATTGAGAGCAAATGTGTGGATGGTGTACAGGTCTCTGAGTGAGTGGGAGGGAACAGGGGAGGCAGATACAACACTTTACTATTCTAACACAAAAGGGGAGATAGCAGATGTTTTAGCTGGACACTGTTTTAGGGGCTAAAATTATTGGAAAAGGCATGGATGAATGGCAGGCATGGCAACACTGGTGACAAGAATGAAGACGTTAATGGACAACAATGAATAGAAGAGTTACACTTACGTGTAGTCGAGTCTCACTTAGAGCTGGAAGGAGAGCGCTGTGATGAGTGGAGTGTCTGATGTGCTTGTAAAACATCGCCCCCTGCAGGTTTAAAGGACACCCTCATAATTAGGGTGTTTTCTCAGTGATGTCATTGAGGACAGAAACTGCCCACTTGTGATCACATTTCTCATATTCAGCTCGAATAAATCAAATTAGACATTACATATCGTTACAATGATTCCCAAAACAAGACCAACAATAACTTAATATAAGCCAACTTCATTTTTTGTGGAAAAACTCCCTAAAATGTTTGGTGTGATGATATTGAAAAATAACCATTCTAACACCCAAAATTTAGACTCCGCCCATATGTGACATCATTTACCAGAAATGACATCATTCAGGTCTCTTTAATAGGGGTGCAGAAAATGGTAACTGTCAAGCTTAACAACTCAACCCCATCACATTATATTAAGATGGAAAATTATTATTTTTCAACATTTTGTTTTAATCCATAAGTATATACAATGTACTTATTTTATTGCTGCTATATATGGTCTATTCTCCTACACTACATGAGGAGCAGTGGCCATTTTGAGCAAAAAAACACAACCCCACCACAGTCAACCCTGTCACAAAAAAATATATATATATTTTTTTTTTCATCAAGTTTCTTTTTGTAAACTTGTGACAGGGTTGAGTTATTTACTTCATTTATCAATAATTTTAATAAAAACATATAAAAATAGTCATGGTTATCGGTAAATATACACTTACCAAACACACAACAATTCACATTTTTGTTATAAATAGAATATTTTATGTAATGTGTCCAGTTAAACTTTAACAAGCATGCTCCATCAGAAACTGCAGAAAGACAATGTTGGGCATGTTGACCCAGAAAGATGGGGGAGAATATGAGAGAAAAACAAAACTGAAAATTAAAATCGAAGGCAATGTATTCCTTCAAATGTGTTACAGTCTTCAACCCCCGTCACATCTGGTCACATTAATATTTTTGTAAAAAAAAATAGGGAAGACAATTAAGGATGAAAGCATTTCTTGCTGACATCTGACATGTTAAGGACTAAAACAATAAAATTGTGGTTTTAGTTAAACATCTAAATTAAACTTTTTTTTTTTTTACAAAAATAAAGAAACCATAAACAAACAATTTGTCTATTATTAAGTTCAGTCCCATAAAATGTGAAAATTATGATAAATGTTACATTTGTTATCATTAAATTGTTATGAGGGACAAATGAGCAGTAGGCAGATGTTTGTTTTATAACAAGTTCTGTGTAAAATCCTTTTTAAACAATTCCCATTTTGTCCATTACGGGGTTGAGAATAAGAGGTGTCTAAATCTGAAGAAAACTAAAAACAATAAAAGGTCTTTAATGCCTGAGATTTGTTGGAGGTTTGATATGTGCCTAATGATGTGGCGTATTTAGAAAATAAATCATATATAGCTGAAAAAAAAAATATTCCAAGTTGAAATGTTACAGAATCCCAGGAATGACCCTTAAACTAAAACTAAAACCATTTAAAAAATCTGTTAATAAAATAAATAATAACCAAAATAAAATAAAATATAAAAAAAATTGTATTTCATTTTATTTCAACATTTTTTTATTTTAATTTAGTTGAACCTGACATACAAAAATAACAAACTGAAAAAAAAATTAATAAAAATTTTAGACATTTAAAAATATTATAAAAATGACAAATATAACTGAAAATATGATACTCACAATATGAGTTATAGTGTATATAAATCTTGTAGTTACACTCAACTCTAAAATACTTCATTATGTAGACACTGACTGCAATCTCTTTAAAATGATTTTTAAAAACGAATCACTTTTATCATTTTTATATATGATTTACGGGGAGTTAAAAAGTCTTGGAACAATCCAAACAATTCTTTCACATTTATGGGGGATGTTAACCCAAAAATAAAAATTATTTCATCATTTACTCACTGTCACACCCCTGTGGACTGTCTTGTTGTGTTTTCATTCCCCATGTGCTTTAGTGTGACCTTAATTTCTCCTCGTGTCTGATTGTATCATTCTGTTCACCTGAGTTCGATTAATTATCCTAATTTGTGTCTGTACTTTAAGTCAAGTCTGTTCAGTTCTGTTTTGTCGAGTATTGTGAATGTTACCCTGTGTGTGTGTGTGTTCCTGACCTGTCTGGATTACCTATTGTGGATTATTAAAGTGATTATTGGAATTCTTCGTCGTCCTGCCTGTTTCCACACACCGTGTTTGTGATACTCATCTTCGTTTTGTTCCAAAGCTGTATGACTTTCACTTTTTTTCTGCTGCGTGCAGAATACAAAAATAAAGAAAATTTGACAGATCAATGTACAGAAACATTCTCATAATATAGTAGTTTTATTAGGGGTAATTATGAAATCGGATAGCATTTTTGAACTTCACTTCAGAACAATAAAACTAATTTAATATTTCAAAATTTTAAGTTAATCAACAACTAACAACTTGTGCTAGCAATTTAAAGTTTTTCTCAAAAAGAATAGTGATTTTTATCACATGCAAAATAATGTCAAAATTACAGTAAAAAATTGTGACTAATTCAGATAAAACTGTAACATCAGTTAAGACTCAAACTAGAGAAGCAATGATAATAGCCTTGACATATTTAACCAATACACCAATTTGTAACATAAAATCGGCATTCATTATCAAAG